TCGTCTGATACCAACAGCGATACAAAGCGTGCGTCGTCGATGGATGGCAGCACCTCCGCGGGGTACGGACCGAAGGTTTGCATGCGAACCAGGACTTCAAGTTTCCTGTTAGTCGAGAGCAGCTGTGTCCCCACTGTGGAGTCGTTTAACTGAAACAACCCTAAATGCGTGAGGGCGGGGAGTAGGGCAAGATCGGCCGATAGAGAATGTAAATCCGAGCTGCCGTCCAATGAATCGAACAGATCCAGATGAGTGGGCGAAGTAAACATGGGATCGACCGGATTCATCCATACTCGATCCTCGAATAGGCCCTTTAGGAAGAGGGCCAGCCGTCGCAGCTTCATAGTCTGCAGCCGGGGTAATATCGATCGTTCTGGAGAAGGAAATAGTACGAGGGACCGAAGTGCGCTGCACATGGAGAGAATTTCGACTAATTCGTCCTCATCCATGTTCTTTTCGACGAATAAATTCCAAACGCGATCACGGAAGAAATTAGTCGGTTTGACGGTGGAGCGAATTGCCTGCTGAAGGACGTGGATTCGACATGTATGGGCGATGCCATCGAAAGTAACAGTCCTGTATTTGATTCTTTCTATCCTGCTGCTGGGTTAGATGATCGTCCGACGACTCCGCAGAGATGTGTGCCCAGGCAGGCTCACCATTCATGGATGCGCTTTGCAACGAGAAGAAGGTTGGGGGTGATTTCAGGGTACAGGTACGCGGCTGTTTCAAAGATATCCCGTTCCAGTTCTAGTGGAAAGAAGGGTGAGGAATATTCACTCGACTCCATCCGTTGAAGAGATGGAGGACGGAAGACGGAGCTTTGAAGTTGTGACTGTTTGTCCGTCGATTGATGATCGGCTTTTGATCGGCTTTCTCCTTCCATGCCGGTTGGACCCGGCCACTCCGGGAATCCCCGTAGCTTTCAGGACGATCTTTCCACCAGGTCCTAGTAGGCCGCCCATGTCCAAGATGGTTTCTCCCTCAAACCCACCCTAATTATCGGACGGCTGGGACCCAAAAACTGACGAGAGATTCCGAAGCAGATAGAGTCACCAGTCATGAAACTCTTCGCGAGAAAAAGCAAATGCGTCATGGGTGGGCAGAAAAATATGACATTTTAGGTAGTCACCATCGTTTCAGCATCTTTGCAGCGAGTTTAACTACGAATAAGCTTGAGTATTCACTCAACAGACTGCCAGGAAAACAAGGTGAGAGGTCGACCCATCCAATGCTGCACTGATGTTCGACAGAAGCGACCGACGAACCAGGATATGAAGTGTGCGTCCACGGATAGCAGGTCCTCCCGGGAGTAGTCGGAGTGGCTCATGCGGATCAGCACCTCGAGTTTCGGACATTTTGAGAGCAGCTCCACCACACTGACTTGACGGGTCCCGACTATGCCCTCGGGAGGAATAGAACCTCCGGCTCCTCGTTAAACCTCATTTATACACACGACATGGAGCGGAGATGACCGCCATGATCCACGGCGGCTCGAGACCTACGGCTCATGCACTTGTATCTGCGACGAAAACGTTTGGTGGATGCAGAAAGAAAAAAACTTAACACCTACCATAGGCCCCGAGGAGGAATCGGACCTCCTCTCCTCATTGAACTAGTCCAACGATGCTGGTTTATTGAGGTGAGGCGACCGTCGCGGTCTACGGGGGCTCCCAAGCTATGCTTCACCGCTTGGAATGTGCAAATAGTTCTCAGTGGAGCACCAATGAAAAAGAAAAAGGGATAACGCTGGACCTGCCCTATGCCCCAGGGAGGAATCGAACCCCCTGATCCTCGTTAGGAATCTACTCATAACCAGCTATGGATTCGTGGCGGTCACCGTGATCCACCAGGGCTTGCAAGGTATGATTCATGCTCTTGCAAGTGCAGCCTAAATGTGGATTGAGTAGGACACAGAGAAAAAGGAAAGGTCACCTGTGTTATGCCCAGGGGAGGAATCGAACCCCCGTCTCCTCGTGACACATTGAAGGTTAATTAACTCGAGGGAATCACCATGATCCATGTGAGCTACGGTTAGTGCTCCTGTAAATGCAAGATAAGATGTTGAGTGGACGAACAGAGAAAAAGAGATTCCTATCTTGGGGATGCCCCCGGGAGGAATCGAACCTCCGTCTCCTCATTACACATCGAACTAAACGGTACGAATTTGAAGTGATCGTCACGGTCCACGGGGGCTTGCGAGCTAGGTTCAACGGCCTGGGATGTGTGAATAGTTGTCAGTGGAGCACCAATAAAGAATGCAAAAAGGGACAATGCTGGTCCTGCCGTATGCCCCCGGGAGGAATCGAACCTCCGACTCCTCGTTACACACGTCTTTCGTCGAACACGGGTGCGAGGCGACCGCCACGGTCCACGGGGGCTTTCAAGGTATGGTTCGCGCTGATGGAAGTGCAGGATAAGATGATGAGTGGACGAACAGAGAAAAAAGAGATTCGTATCTTGGCAATGCCCCCGGGAGGAATGGAACCTCCTTCTCCTTGTTAAACCTTTGGACAATCCACATATGAAGTAGAGGCGACCACCACGGTCCAAGGGTGCTTTTCAGCTAGGGTTAACGGTCTGGGATGTACGAATAGCTTAGTAGTCGAGCAACAATTTAAAAAAAAGAAGCTTGCTTCGGTCGCCACATGCCGTGCACATGCCCCCGGGAGGAATCGAACCTCCGTCTCCTCGTTACACATCTATTCATCACAGAAACCAGGTGGAGGCAATCACCATGATCCACGGGGGCTTTCCAGCGAGGGTTAACGGTCTGGGAAATATGAATAGTTGTCAGCGGAGCACCGATGAAAAAAAAGAAAAAGGGAGTTTAGTACCTGTTGGCCTACCTATGCCCCCGTGAGGAATCGAACCACCTGATCCTCACTACATTTGATTCCTACTCAAGTATGGATTCGAGGCAACCGCCACGGTCCACAGGGGCTTTCTAGCTACGGTTAATGGTGTGGGATGTATGAATAGTTGTTTACATTGTTTACATTGGAATATCACGCCTGTGCCAATATTACATGACTGAGGTTAAGCACCAATGAAAAGAAAAGAAAGAAAGGGAGATGATTACCACAGCCCATGCCTCCGGGAGGAATCAAACCTCCGTCTCCTCGTTACACTTATTATGTCCACCACTTACGACTTCAAGGGGATCACCATGATCCACAGGGGCTTGCGAAGTATGGTCCGGGCTCTTGTAAGTACAGATAGTTGTCAGTCAAGAACCAATGTAAAAGGAAGGAAACCTGGGCGATCCCATGCCCCTGGGAGGAATCGAACCTCCTTCTCCTCATTACAGAATCAATTTCCAAACCATGGGTTCGAGGCGACCGCCACGGTCTACAGGGAGCTGTGAGGTATGGTTCACGCTCTTGGAAGTGCAGAATAAAATGTTGGATGGGCTGTATAGAGAAAAAGAGATTCCTATTAATTGACTGGGAATGCCCCCGGGAGGAATCGAACCTCCTTCTCCTCATTACAGAATCAGTTTCCAAACCATGGGTTCGAGGCGACCGCCACGGTCTACAGGGGGCTGTGAGGTATGGTTCACGCTCCTGGAAGTGCAGAATAAAATGTTGGATGGGCTGTATAGAGAAAAAGAGATCCCTATTAATATGAAATAAGAGTAGCCGAGCTTAAGTGCCCACCGAAAGTATCCCCCTCCGCACTCATGAGTCCCCGGGACTTAAGTTCCACCCAGCCTCCCCCCAGCGTATAATATAGCTGTACCCGTGCCCCCCTCCCTCCCTCTGAGCTTAAGTCCTCCGACAACTTGAGTCCCTCATGAGCTTCACTTAAGTTGCGCCCGAACTTAAGTTCCGTGCTTGTATGCACCACGCCTATATGGCCTGCCGCCTATACATATCTCCCTCACTCCGCCAACCACTTAAGTCTGGCCAGATCACTCAAGTCCACCACTTGAGTCCCATTGATCACTTAAGTCCTGCACGCGACTTAAGCCCCATCCACTTGAGTCCTGTAATAAAATATAATTCAAACTTAAATTTTCTCACTTATATCTTCCAAGTTCTAAGTTGATAAGCAATATGAACCATGCCACTGAACGGAGCCAAGGGAAGGGGGTATTCAAGGGCCTTATATATGTATGAGCAGCATGTCACTTGTGCCACACATTGTGTGTCAGTTTCCCACTTTGGGACACAATGGTGTTCATTGTGTGTTAAAGACCATTGTGTGGTCAATTGCCATTCTAAGAAGATGAACAATGGAGTGTTGATTCAAGTGACTTGATTGTCTTTGTCCAGGTGGCATGGTGGCCGGACTGGATATATATAAGGCCTTGAAAACTCCTCCCAGATCGGTAAGTTTGTCGTCTTAGTCCATACGTCAACGATGCTAACGACTATCAGTCACATTGTCAATAAAGGCAAGGCAGCAAAACGGTGCGCAATTGCTAGTTTCATTTGCTTGATATACAGAACTGAAGTTCAGTCTAGCAGTAAACGGAACTGAAGCTGTGGATACACGAACTTGAGTGTACTGGAGAGCTTAAGACAGGCCCGCCTTGAGTCGCAGGGGAAGTCTTAAGATCGGCGGAACTTAAGTACCACATTATGTTTTTAATACTCCTATTCGATCTTATTTGAAATCTTGAGTCTTGTCCAAACTTAAGTCCAGATACGAGAACTCAAGTTCTGGATTCAATATGGAATGGAGGTAGCATAGTACATATAGCAGAGTTAAAGGAACTTAAGTCCCGTGGGAGTCATGAGTGCAGAGGGGGATACTTTCGGTCAGAACTTAAGTTGAGCTAATAAAGTATTTGTATTAATAGACTGGGAATGCCCCCGGGAGGAATCAAACCTCCGTTTCCTCATTAAACCGAAATACAACATTGCCCATTGATTTGAGGGGACCACCATGATCCGCGGGGGCTTTCCAGCTAGGGCTAACGGCTTGTATGAATAGTTGTTAGTCGAGCACCGATGAAAAAAGGGGAAAAGGAAAGATAACAGGCTGCTACCGAAAGCCCCCGGGAGGAATCGAACCTCCGTCTCCTCATTGAACACGTCCAACGATGCTTCATTGAGTTGAGGCGACCGCCATGGTCTACGGGGGCTTGCGAGCTAAGGCTAACGGCCTGGGATGTACGAATAGTTGTTAGTTGAGCACCAGTCAAAAAGGAGAAAGGGAAATCACTACCGATGCGCCATGCCCCCGGGAGGAATCGAACCTCCGTCTCCTCTTTCATAGTTTAGTCCTAGTAAATCAACGGATGAGGCGGAGGTGACCGCCACGGTCTACGGGGGCTTTTCAGCTACGGTTCGCGCCCTTGGATGTGCAGGATAAGATGTTGGGTGGGCTACAGAGAGAAAAAAAGATGCAAGACACATGCCAAATGCCACCGGGAGGAATCGAACCTCTGTAGCTTAGTCACAGCCAATCCTACTATGACGCGGAGGCGACCGCCACGGTCCACGGGGACTTGCCAAAGTACTTTCTGCGCCCATGGATGTACGAATAGTTCTCAGTGACGCACCAGCAAAAAAGAAAAAGGGAAATCATTACCGACGTTGCATGCCCCCGGGAGGAATCGAACCTCCCTCTCCTCATTACACATCTTTCTATATTGACTATCTACAACTTCGAGGGGATCACTATGATCTACGGGGGCTCCAAAGCTATGGAATGAATAGTCGTCAGTGGTGGACTAGTAGGAAGGAAAGAAAAACTTGGTCGCCAATGCATGCCCCCGGGAGGAATCGAACCTCCTCCTCCTCGTTGAATGTCGTGGACCCTTCACGGGGTCGAGGCGGTCACCATGATCCACGGGGGCTCCAAGGCTACGTTTAGTGCTCTTGTAAGTGCGGGTAAATTTTCAAATGGATGCAGCAAAGATGCACAGAAGAAAAAAGATGGATGATCAAAAATTATGCCCCCGGGAGGAATCGAACCCGTCCCTTCACTTAGGCTCGAATCCAGTCTGTCTACCGAAAGTAAACTGTCGGTAGAGAGGTTCAGCAACTTACCATATAAGGTGATTCCGGACCGCATGTCCGAGTACAAACAAGCCAAAACCCTGCCCGATAGCTGCACGCGCGGAAGCCTGAGAAAGAGACCCTTGCCAACTTGAAACACTTGCAAATCCCTTCCTTGTCTTTCACTTCTTCCTATACGTGTCTCTGTCCATGGCATCCCCCCTCGCGCGCCCCGTGGTAATTCCCCGCCACCGGCGCGCTCTGCGCAACGGGCCCCTCCGGCTCCCCTGTGGCTACCGCCCCGAGCAGCAGGGTTGCGATATGAACGACCTCATAAAGCGCCGCGCGCGATGCCGGCGCTGAGATTCTGCGCGTATCAATACCTCTGCTGTGCTATCTGTCGTCCGTACTAACGGGCAGATAGCCCACCTCGCACTGAGAAATCCACGCCTCGGGCTAACTCGGACGAGGATACCTTCCAGCTGCGACGATCACCTCGCGCAATTGACGTATCGCCATGATGCGCTTCCGTGCCGCACGACGCGTCTTGGATGTGGCGCCCTCGTGAAGCTCGGCGATCACCACCTCCCCCTTTCCTCTGCTACGTGGTTTTCTGTGCTCATGGGCATATAGCTCCCCCTCGACGCTGTGCGCTTCCTCGCACCGGCACACCCGCATCTCGACGTCATGCACGCGGAAGAACTCGTGTTCAGTGGCCCGTGCGTGCCGAATACCTCGCAACTACTTACGCACCGAGCACCTCCCGAGTACGAGCGGGTAGCAGCGGAAGACTCTAGTGAAGCAACGACCGTCCCTCCCTCAATACCACGTACGTGCGCGCCGCTCTGCTGCGTGTTATCCGTACTGATGGAGGGACAGCTCCTCGAGCTGCACGCGCCTCTGGTTTGCGCGACATCTCGCTGCGGCTACGGCGCCCGCGCTCTGACGCTGAAGCATCGCTGACAAGAGCAGAATGGTGCCGTGCCGTCGTGGCCTTTCGACGCGGCGCCGAAGCCCGCGGGCTAGCGATCATGGACCCTCCCCGCGGCAGATGATGAACCCCCCCCCACCCGTTTCGTGCTCAATACCCGTGCTCACCGATCGCGAGCAGCGCGCCTGCGCGTCTCTTAGTCGGCGTCGGGGGTGTTTCCGCACACGTAGGCGCGTGGTCGTCCGAGTCACGACTTGACTTTATCCTTGCGAGTAGGCATTGGCGGCACTTCCTCGTTTCGTTTCGGCCGGCTCACGGGAGGCGATGCGCCAGCGCGACGAGCGGCATGCTGGAGCTTTCGTGTCTACGACTCGCGAGGAAGTATTGCCTACATATCCTCATGTCGCCAGATTAGGAAATGGACATTTGGTCCAGATGCTTTTGGCGAACACCTTTACGTCTCAGTTCTCAGTTCGCGTCACTCGAGGCGTCAGCCCAGAATCCCCTGTCTTGCACTCCTGACTGCTTCCTCCCGCGCGCTAATTCCGGTCAATTAGCAAGCCTTCGAGTTATCCTCTTTTTTTTCCCTCTTTTTGTGAGCCCGTTTCCGAGTCCAGTGATGTCTACGTTTCCTCCCCGCGAACCGACGCGGCGTGGATTCTTCTCGGGGGCATATTCGACAGGTGTGTTACGCTGGTTGTGTTATCATTGGGCTTGATTTTCGGAAAGGACACGAGACGTGCAGCGTGCGGAGAAGAGTACTTCGAAACTTCGGAGCGAAACGTATAAATTCTCTCTAAAATATGTTTTCGCCCCAAACCAAGTCCTAACTTAGCCGGCATGAAAAGTCCTAACCGAGCCTGCCACGAAAAGTCCTAACAGAGCCCGACTTTCAACTCTTGACCGAGCCAGGACTCAACCACTGACCGAGCCTAATTTAACTCAAGCCCTGACTGAGCCCAACTTGTATATTTTCCAACTCCTGACCGAGCCCGACTTTTATACTTTTCGACTCCCTGTGCCCAGACCCAGCTTTCCGACTGCATTTCTTTACAGCCGGTTTCAAAAGTTTGTACGGGTTTTCCAAATCGGTGCTGCTCCTGATGTGCTTACAGTTGTTTGCCACCGCATCCACCAGGCGTCCGTTAACTCAGACGTTCTGAATTCATTTTGCCCATCCATATACTTCCCTGTTTGCATGGCTTATGTATAACAAGTCTACAATACATTGCAAGCGCAGAGGACATTGAATTGAAGGATTTTGGAGCCATCGGCCGAAGGGCCTAAATACCGAAAGTTCGAAAACCGCGCAAAAGTTGACTTTTTTTGTGGTACATTGCACTGGTGAGGGCTGCAACCAAGGTGGAGCCTCACTAGGTCCAATGGTGAGTCAGAACACCGTGTCGCCATCCTCCAGAGGGTTGTCGGTGGGACGCGGCGGCAAACAGTTGTAAGCACATCAGGAGCAGCACCGATTTGGAAAACCCGTACAAACTTTTGAAACCGGCTGTATATTGGGCATGAATATCCACTAGCCTGATGCTGAAGATGGATTAGAAGCCAATTTCTGAAGGAGAGAACGAGGAGGGCCGAAATACTGGAGTACAGCTCAAACAATCAGAAAATCAACTTACAAGGTATCGGAAGGCCCTGGAACAGGGATCTTACATCCAGAGACTCTAATTCAGACATTGGGAAAGACACATCCAGTAGTACTGTGTCTCTACAGCTTTGATACAGGCATCGTGCGTTGAGGTGAACTCGACCAATGTTTGGTCTGACCAGGGAGACTACCAGATACATGCACACATATATTTTTACGAGGCAGCAGCGCGGTCAGAGCGGTCCACTGACTGCGCGAGTGTGTGACGGGCGATGGGCGACGGGTTAGACGCTACACTACGATAGATGGAAAACAGGGAATAGGTTGAATTGCCAAATAAAATAAAAACACGCAAATGGTGCTGCCAATAATTAGGTGAGTATTGAGTCGAGGTCACCGAATCTCACAAGAAAATGATGCGATGCGTTTCAAATCCCATCCCCGTCTTCGATCCAACACCGCGAACCTGGGACCCATGCGTTAGAATTAGAAGCAGAGGTGCGGGAATATGACGAACTGGGCTCGATTTCACCTCGCCGCTTCTTGGCGACGAACCGTTCCGCGCGCACCCAAAAGTCCGCCTCACCCATTATACCGTCGACCCAGTCCGATACATAGTCGTTGTATATCAACGACACGCATACAAACCGGACGTCGTCGATAAATGGCAGTTCCAGGGGGTACCCGACGGGGCACATGTAAGCCAGAACTTCGATGTTTGAACACGTCTCTAGGACCCGTGTTGCAGGAGGATTTACCAGCTCGTATAACGCCAAATGCGTCAGCGCAGGGAGCAGGGCAAAGTCTGGCGACCAAAAGTCGGCGTACAACGAAAAATGATCGGACAAGTGGAGATGGGTGACGAAAGCGAACGCTGGATGGGATAAATCGACTGCTCCTCTGAATAGTTCCCGCAGGTGGACAGCGAGGCGACGTGGCTGTATGACCGCCAGACTCGGTAGTATAGATGGTCCCCCACAGTCAAGTAGCGTGAGGAACCGAATTTCCCTGCAGGCGGATAGAATGAAATGCAGTTCGCCCTCGGGGATGAACGAGTAAATAAACAAATGCTGGACACGATTGTGGAAAAAATCAGGTGGTTTCAAGCGGGAACGGATGGCGAGTTGGAGGAGGCGGAGCGGGCAGGCTGGGGGATATGGAATGGAGGTGACAGTTCTGTATTTGATTCGTTCGATCCTGTGAGGACCTTAACTGTCTGGGTAGTGCATCACGGGCTGCGGCGGGCTCACCACTCATAGACGCGCTTTGCCACGAGGAGAAGACACGGCTGGTAGACTGTTTCGGGATACAGCTCTGCAGCTGTTTCAAAGATCTCCTGTTCAAGCTCGGGCGGAAAGACCGGCGAGGAGTCTTCACCAGAGGCCATCGCTGAAAGCTGTCGAGGGCAAGAGACAGAGAGGCTTTGTAAGCTATCTCGCGATCACGTGTATCTATCTAAAATTGTAAATTTGCCAGTTAGAACATCCATTTCTTAACAAAAGAGACATCTAACCAGGATACCACAAAAAATTGCAATGAAGTAGAACGCGTGCTCCCATAGCCATCTCGTCCGCATTAGTAATACGCATGGGACTAGTCGGGGGCGC